TATATATATTTATATAATGACCGGTATCGAAGCATATGGCGCTTATGTGTCTTATGCAAGTTAGCCCAGAGGCTTAAATTCAAATGTAGCCAGCCACTTCATCCACACTCGCTGCATACTAACACCTATCAATTATCTACTGCTAAACAACACCGCCAGCACAACGTCAATGTCGATGCAATTCCAAACCCAACCCCAAACCCAACCAAGTGACAAGAAAACGACCACCACCAACACCACCACCACCACCACCACCACCACCACACCTCACACGATACGAAAGGACACTCAAGACGCACCTCAGAGCCGGAAACAGGACTCTGCGACGCAGAACGATCCCAAGTCTGCACCTAAATCTGGACCGGGACCTGAAGTGGGCAATAAACTTATAGGCCGGCTCGACGCCTATGAACCCATCGCCGAAGTCAGTGACGAGACCAGCTCACTCACGGCCCTGAGTGAAGCTGAGGCCTACAACGAGGATATGAGCCGCACGCCGTTAGGCACACGCTACATCCGCGCGGGGGGTGGCAGTACGGCTACGACTACCACCACTACGTCTACCACGACTAGTGCTACCTTTGCCAAGAACCAGAGCCAGAACCCGAACCAGAGCCCGAACCAGTCCCCGTTTACGGATGAACGTCTGCCGACCACCCCCCTGGCGTACCCCTTCAGCGCCCACTTGCTGGACGACATGCCGCAGAGGCGCGAACGCGCGCACTCGCACAACATCAGCTCACAGAGTGAGGAGAAGCGACCGACCCAGCGACGACTCAGCAACGTGCAGAGCTTCAACGCGGGCGTGCGTATGATGTCGATGAACGCGCTGGTGGCCAGTATGGACGAGATCAACACGAACGTTAACCTGGCGGAACTCAACGCTAATGTGCACCACGTGGTAGACGATGAGAAGACTGAGGGCGAGGACGAAGAGGAGCTGGAGTATGCACCGCCGCCCGCGCGACTTAGGGGGCCGTCGCTGGCGGAGTTATCGGTATGAGGGTTAGATGTGCATGTATGGTTGGGTGGAAGGTGCACACACACGTGTGTGTGTGTGTGTGTGTGTGGGTTGTTACGTGTGATGTATGGACGGGTGGAAGGTGCACACACGCACGTGTGTGGGTCTGTGTGGGTGTTAGGTGTGCGGATATCAATCGAAGGGCACGTAGATGCGTGTGTATGTATGTATGTATGTATTCATACGTGTATGTATGCACGATGACTATAGAATATACTGCTTACCTATGAACACCTATAAGGTATCCTGGGTACCTATAAGCACCCTGTGTCAGAGTATTATCACACACTTTCGTCAACTGAAAGTAGAAATTAGCCATGTCTTCAAACTATACTCAATGCCAATACACATTCTGTCTAACTCGTAGGAGGTTTTCCGAAGGAAGTCCATTGCCGATGTAGGTAGCTCCATCTCTCAATTCAACCAGCAACGTTTAGCCGACTCTGCAGTGGCCAATGAGATTATAGAAGAGGACTCTGGCTTGGATCTTACGGAAGAGCAAGTGTAGGGACGCCATTAGATAATAAAAGCAAAGTCAGGCGATGCCATGACGATGCAGATGCACGCTATCTCTGGTACATACACAGAAACTAAGTACTGTTTACGTTGAAGCTAGAAATCAATAATTACATAAGCTGAAACTAAGTATTGCTTACGTTGAAGCTAATCATTGCATACGGCGAAACTAGTAAATATGTAAGTCGAAATTGGTGAGTAGACACTTTGAAGCTAGAAATTATATTTATTGAAGATAATGTTTACACACATTAAAACTAATGAATACACGCATTGAAAACAATAATTACATAACATACATTGAAATAAATAATTACATACATTAAAACTAATGACTACACATATTAAAACTTATGATTACATACATTGAAACCAATGATTACATACATTAAAACAAATGAATACATACTTTAAATATTATCATTACATACTTAAAAACTAATGACTACACATTAAACTAATGATTACACACATTAAAACTAATGATTACATGCAAAAAAACTAATGAATACATACTTTAAAAATTATGAATACATACATTAGAACTAATGACTACACATATTAAAGCTGATGATTAGACACATTAAAACTAATGATTACATATATTGAAACTAATAAATTTCACTCGACATCATCGAGAGCATCATCGTATTAGACGTGTGAAAGTATGCATGGAGACAAGCTCAACCCGCCGACAGCCATTGCGCTTGGTGTGGTATTTTCTTAGTTTTGAGTCGCATTTGATTTCACTCTTCAGCTTCAGCTGTTCAAGCGAGGCACAACGTCGGCGACCAATTCTGCTCCACTTCTATTAGTTACATAGACAAAGTAACCTTTTCTCTCATTTGAACATGATCACAATTCTGAAATAAATCGTAAAAACATCATTCCCAAAATCGAAAACCCTAAACCCATGCACGGGGTAAATTGACTCGATGATATATCCAGCATATAAATATCTATCACCACAACAATCTCGTTGCGATAAATCAAAGATCGGGGGTTCATAATGTCTGCACATGGTACAGGCCAAATCGTCGGGAGTATCCGTGTCGGAAGATTAACTTGTACACTTATGGATCATTGGTATTTGATCCACAAAGCTACAGGCTGATTGTACGAGTTTCAGATGTTGTATCCACTTACAGCAACCCCGCTGTGGGCGTTTAACAGAAATAGGAATCGCATTGCCCTTATCACACTAAAATGCTCAGCAACTCGGCGAAGGCGCGATTGACAGATGGTCTTTCCTTAGCATGACAGTTTATTTTTCGTTCTGTTAGATGCTGAGGGAGAAGTACGTTACCAGAGCTATCAGCAGTAGACTGTGGTAGCCCACTCCGTAGTTGAACGCCAACAGGCCCATCAGTACGAGCGTGGCACAGCACAAGTAGGTCCGATTAGCCAGGAATCTGTAGCGGTTGAATGTTTCCACATCCTGTGAAGTGGATATAATGCAACGGAAGCGAAGAACACGTCTGAGTTGTAGGTACACGCGTGTATGTGCGTGCGTGCGTGCGTGCGTGTGTGTGTGCGTGTGGGGAGGTGGGGTTGGAACAAACTCATTAGGACGATAGCTCACCGCACATACGATTGTGTCGGAAAGGACTACGTCACTCGTTGGATTGAATACTGAAAGCCTGTTGAAGGGACATTCCTAGCCCTATCTCTACTTATAAAAGGTGGCGAATGGAACATGAGAAACGTTATTCCTAGGCTCTATATAAAATAGAAAGGGGCATGGAATATAGAAGAAAAGCGCTTCCTAAATCCTGTATCTAAATATAAAAGGAATATCACGGAGTATTGGGGAAACGCCCTTGCTAGCCAATATGAAAGATGGAGAATGGAGTATAGCAGACACGTCATCCTGGCTCTATATCTAATTTTGAAATATGCTGCTTGGAGTTTAAAGGAAACGCCCTATCTAAAGCTCTATATCTAATTATGAAAGGTAGGATCATGGGGTATAGAGTAAACGCCCTATCTAGAGCCCTATATCTAGTTATTAAAGGTAGGATCATGGAGTATAGGAGAAACGCTCTTGCTAGCCCTATATCTAAATACGGGTGGAGCATGGAGAATAGCAGAAGCGTCAGTCTAGCCCTATATCTATCTACAAGGGGTGGGGCATGAGATATAAGGGAACCGTGAGATCATACCTCCACAAGGTCTTGTCATGTAACAAATAAAATGACCAATTTTGAAAGGATATATATCTTCGTAATAGGGAGACGGCGTACAGCAATAGCACGCCTGGCACTGGCTATTAGAAGGTACCTGCATGTACTGCAACAGTATAACCCCATAGTTTTAGCTCAGCACTGGCTGGTAAAAGGCACCTGCACGTATACAACAGCCAACACCCTACAGTTGTGGCCCACCAGGGGCTTCATCCAGACAGCTGTGAAACAATATTCTCTCACAAACCTGTACATAGTATACTACTAGGCATAGTATACGAGTATGGGAGGACTATTCGCGTAGCGCTTTGAGTCACTTCCTGGTGCTATGTTCGTATGTATGGTACACATGTATTTGAATACATAAACCAATTGACCTAAAATCAAACGTCTATATAACCCCTAGCGCCAGTTTTTTGGTATCTATTTCTTAATGTTTGATTTATGTATTCATATCATATATATATATATATATATATACCCACATACCGTCTTGTGCCATTTCCTGGCGCTGCGGTTGCATATCTGATATACCAGTCGCGCCACAGCACGCACTTCAGCTGGCCGCACATTGCCCACATCCCCCCTCTGCAAATGACACATAGAGTAGATACACAATGAGATAGCTGTGTTGTGATTAAACTATATATATATATCTAATACACACATACACACACACACACACACACACACACACACACACA